CCAAATACATATTAGAAGAGACTCTGAAACTTGCTCACCAGCATAGAGATGCTAAAGCAAATGGAAGAAATGAGAAGGTAAAAGAGCTAAACAGAAAACTTTAAATGAAGTATGCAAAGACCTGGAGTTAGAAAACCAAAAGAGAAGAATACACTTAGCATTTCTCAAGATGTACAATCTAAGAATAAATACATCTTCAACTCGGAATATTGAAGGATTCCATGTGCAGAGTATTGGACGATACAGAAAGCATAAAAAAAAAAAAAAAAAGCTGGAAGGAATACAGGATTACTGTGTCAAAAAAGAAATGGCCGATGTTCAACCATTTCAAGAGGTAACATATGATCAAGAACTGATGGTATGGAAGGAAGAAGTCCAATCTACACTGAAGGCATTAGCAAAAAACAAGGTTCCAGGAATTGATGAAATACAAATGGAAATCTTTCAACAAACTGATGCGGCCCTACAGGCACTCATCCATCTATGCCAAGATATTTGGAAGACAACTACCTGGCTAACTGAATGGAAGACATCCATGTTTGAGCCCATTCCAAAGAGAGGTGACCCACCAGAATATGGAACTCATTAGACAATATCATTGATGTCACACGCAAGTCAAATTTTGCTGAAGATGATTTTAAAATAACAGCAACAGTAATCGACAGAAACTTCCAGAAACTCAAACTGGATTCAGAAGAGAATGTGGAACTTGGGATATCTTTATTGACATCAGATGGATCTTGGCTGAAGGTAGAGAATATCAGAAGGTTGTTTACTTATGCTTTATCGACTATGCAAAGACGGTGTGGATCACAACACATGTAGATCACAACCTATGGAAAACACTGGGAAGAATGGATATTCCAGAACACTCAGTTGTGCTCATGAAGAACCTGTATACAGACCAAGAGGCAGTCGTTCGAACTGAACAAGGAGGTATTGAATGTTTTAAAGTCAGAAAAGGTGTAAACTTGGGCTGTTTTCTTTTATCATACTTATTCAATTTGTTTGGTGATCAAATAATCTGAGAATATGGGTTATAGGAAGAAGAACAGGGCATCAGGATTAGAGAAAGATTCATTAACAAGCTGTGATTTGCAGACAATACAACCTTGCTTGCTGGAAGCAAAGAGAACTTAAAATACTTATTAAGATTAAAAGACCATAGTCTTCAGTACATATTATAATTCAATGTAAACAAAAATCCTCATAACAGGACCAATTAATAATATCATGACAAATGGAGAAAGCATTGAAGTTGTCAAAGACTTATTTTTTCTTGGTTCTGCAATCAACACTCATGGAAGCAGCAGCCAAGAAATCAAACTATGTATTGCATCAGGCAAATCTACAGCACAAAGACCTCTTTAAAGTGTTCAAGAGCAAACATATCAGTTTGAGGAGTACGGTGCACCTGACCCTAACCATTGTATTTTCAATCACCTTCTATGCATGTGAAAGTTGGACAACGAATAAGGAAGACAATAGAAGAATTGATGCATTTGAATCATAGCGTTGGAGAAGACTAACACTAAGATTGCAGAAATGGACAATACATTGAAAGAGCACAGGAGTCTATTTGAATCAACGGAAGCCCAAATTAGTGAGCTTGAAGATAAATTTCTCAGTACTAGTATCCTAGAAGAACAATCAGAAAAAAAGAATGAAAAAATCAGAAGAAAGACTAAATTACGTAGGATACAATGAAGAGAAATAATTTACCAGGGGTTGGAATTCCAGAACAGGAGGAGAAAGAAACCGCTGGCCTTGTGGTTGGTTAACAATTCAATGCTCAAAATTCAGAAGAATTGTTTGGCCTGTTTTTGTAGCTTATGTAAATGAACTTTTGTTTTACACTGTATTTCTGAGGTTCGTCAATGTTGCTATGTATATATCTTTTTTCTTCTTGATTTGTGTTGTCAAGTGTTGTCATGTCAGTCCTGACTCATAGAGACCCTGTATAAGGTTTCCAATAAGCGGCTGGTGGATTTGAACTGCCAATCATGCTGTTAGCAGTCCGGCGCTTATCCTACAGCACCACACCAGGACTCCCACTTGATTTATAGGATGTCCTGGCTTGGCACTGTGAATTAATGCACTGGACTGCGAGGTCAATTTGAACTGCAAGATTATGGGTTCAAGTTCAGCAGCCACTCCTTGGAAACCCTGTACAGGGTCATTATGAGTTGAAACTGGCTCTATGGCACTTAACAACAACAACTTTATATATTCTGGAAGCTAATCCTTTGGTTCACCACTTGTCTGTCAGTTTGTTGTACTGTGGTGGCTTGTGAGTTGCTGTGATTCTGAAAACAACATTCTTACGAACCGAGAAAAGATTGGAGTTGTCAAGGACTTCATTCTTTTTGGATCAACTATCAACACTTGTGGAAGCAGGAGACAAGAAATCAAACGATGTATTGCATTAGGCAAATCTGCTGCATAAGACCTTTCTAAAGTATTGAAGAGCAAAGATGTCAGCTTGAGGACTAAGGTCTGCCTAACCCAAGGTATTTTCAATAACCTCATATGCATGCGAAAGCTGGACAGTGAATAAGGAAGACCATAGAAGAATTGATGCTTTTGAGTTACGGTGTTGGAGGAGAATATTGAAAGTGCCATGGGCTGCCAAAAGAACCAATAGATCTGTTTTGGAAGAAGTGCAGATCTGCCAGAGTGCTCCTTGGAGGCCAGGAAGGCCAAACTTCATCTCTCATACTTCAGACATATTGTCAGGAGGGACCAGTCACTGGAGAAGGATATCATGTTTGGTAAGGTGGAGGGTCAGAGAAAAAGAGGAAGACCCCCTGTAAGATGGATTGGCGAAGTGGCAGCATCGATGGACTCAAGCGTGGCAACAGTAGTGAGGTTGGCCCAGGATCGGGCAGTATTTCGTTCTGCTGTGCATAATGTAGCTGTGAGTCGGTACCAACTCAATGGCACTTAACAGCAACAATCCTTTGGTAGCTAATATAGAAAAAAATACCTACTTAGTATTTTGGATGGAGTCCTGGTGTGGTACTGTGGGTTAATGCACTGGATTACAAAGTTCGATTGAACTGCAAAGTCGGAACTTCAAGCTCACTAGCTATGCCTCAGAGACCCTATACAGGGTCAATATGAGTCGAAATAGATTTGACAGTACTGAACAACAACAACAAAGGTACTTTGTATATGGGTGAACTATTTATTATTTAAGTGTTGTTTTTGAGTGCCATTGAGTCCGTTCTAACTCATAGCAACACTCTGTAGGGTTTCCGAGGTAGTTCAGTGCTGACCCTACACCGCCACACCGCCACACCAGGATGCATCTAAAGAAGAGACTATTGTCTAAAATATGTTTTGCAAAAATCTACTGAAATTAAAATATAACTTAAAAAATGTTCATATATGCACCACCTAAATCCTTTGTTACACTATCTAGATTTGGGTCTATTGTGTTTTTTTGTTTGTTTGGGGTATTTTGCATTATTCAAGGAGTTTATTCTAATTCAATCACTCTTCATGCATTAATTACTTCATTCAGCAACTCTTTATTACTTACCTATCCTAGGGCCATCCTTGTTCTGTTGTTCAGTGTTGTGGAGTCAGTTTTGACTCAAAACAACCTTGATTAGGGTTCCTGAGGAGCAGCACTTGGGATTGAACTATGGAGCTTATCCTACAGCACAAACCAGGGCTGTAAAGTCTGCAAATGTTTTGTTGTTGCTTTTTAAATAATTATTTTTTTGGAGGGGGGCAGTTTTCAAAAATAACTTTACCTTTTCTAAACCTCTGAAATAACTTGTAGCGGCGGTTCAAATCCACCTTTTTGAGTGTGATGTGATTTAAATTTGTCCTCAACGAATGAATGCTTATTTTTAAAAAAAAGGTTGTAAAGCAATAGTCTGACTGTTCTAGTCTCAAAATAATCGCAGGCTTCAAAATATACGTGCTTTCTGAGTGCGCTATAGCGTTGCGTGGTGATGAGAGATTAACATTTTTAGTAGGTGCCTGGAGTGGTGCTGTGTTGCTATAGGATAAGCACTGGACTGCTAATCACCTGACACTCTTTAGAAAGGCTATGGTGGTGGTGGTTATGTGCTGTGGAGTTGTTTCCGACTCATGGTGACCCTGTACAGGGTTTCCGATGAATCCCGGTGTGGCGCTGTGGGTTAATGCTTCAGACCACAAAGCCATTTGAACTGCAAGGTCAGCAGTTCAAACTCACCAGTTGCTCCTTGGAAACCCTGTACAGGGTGACTATGGGTCGGAATCGACTAGATATGGCACTCAAAACAAACAACAGATCTTTACGGGAGCAGAAAGCCTCATCTTTCTCCCGCAGAACAGCTGGTAGTTTCAAACTGATGACGTTAAGGTTTGCAGCCCAAGTTATAACCACGACGCTACCAGAGCTCCTTTAGGAATTCTATACAGGGTCAGTATTAGTCGGAACCGACTCCTCAGAGTCCTTGAAGGAGCCCTATTGAGTCAGTCAGGGTTTAGAAACCACCAGTCCGTTGGGGGAAGAAAGATGTGGCATTTAGCTTCCTTAAAGATTACAGTCATGGAACCCCTATTGGGCAGTTATTCTCTATCCAATAGAGTCGCTATGAGTCTCAGTAAGATTGTCAAAGTCGTTAGCTGTGCTTTTTATAAAAAATAAATAACTTTAGTCTGCACCTGATTGCCCTACAGCACCTCGGCCCTACCGCGTCTATTATCAGACCCCGCCTTAAGCTCCACCCCCTAAGTAACGCTGGTAGTTATCGCGAGAGCTCAGCCCGGAACTCTACGGATTGGAGCGCAGATCTAGGAGTCCACGTGGGTACGCACTGCTGGTGGAACCGGGATTGTTGCGGGGCTGAGCATCATGGGGAAGCTGCGACGGCGGTACAACGTCAAGGGGCGCCAGCAGACCGTCCCCGTCCCTTCGAAGGGCCCCCCTGAGCCGCCCCCTGTGCAGTTGGAACTGGAGGGTAAGGGCTCTCGGGCGGAGGGAGCACTGGTCTCCGTAGAAAGGGTCTCCTGGGGTAACGCCGCTTCTGGGAGCAGACAGGCAAAGATAAACACTGAAATGTATAGAATATTATGTGGCCATATGTAGGAAGGATATAAGCCGAAGAGGTGGCTGGGGATGAGTTGCAATATTTTCATTGTTGCTGTTACGTGCTGTCGAGTCAGTTCCGACTCTTAGAGACCTTTTGCGCAACTGAAGGAAACGTTGCCCGGTCCTGCACCCACCTCACAATCTTTGCTACACTTAAGGCCTTTGTTGCTGCCACTGTGCCAGTCCATCTCGTTGGCAAGTTCTTCTTCTTCTTCTGTGACCCTCCACTTTACCAAGTATGATGTCCTTCTCCAGGGACTGGTCCCTCCTGATTGT